TGTCCTACATCTATTCTGTCTCCGAATCCCCCAAGAGCAAACATCCTTGAAGCAGTTGAACAGCTAGTAGCAGGACAATACTGAAAGCAGTCATACAAGACTGGGACAATGGTTCTCCTGCTGCCCCCTGCCAGGTCCAATCCTACTGATGGCACAAACTTCCATTTACAAATTAAAAGACATCTATATCTCATTTAAGGTAAATCCATCTAACCGGTATGACAATGGATATATTCTTCAACATGCAGCACTGTGGTTCCTGATCAATTGTCATTGTATTCCCTAAAGGTAGTTGCCTGGATGTATTGTTTCCAACATCATCATGGCACAGTGATCATTTGTCTACCTGCAAGGCTTCGTGAGCTTCGTGAGCTTCGTGAGCTTCGTGAGTGAATGAGTTCGTGAGTGAGTATGGTTTTATGCTGCATTTAGCAATATTCCAGCAATATCATGGCGGGGGACACCAGAAATGGGCTTCACACATTGTACCCATGTCGGGATTCGAATCCGGGTCTTGGCATGACAAGCAAACGCTTTAACCACTCAACCCGACCGCCCCAAAGGCTTCATGAACAGACAAGATATACCTGGGTTTGTCTTGTTGCAAGTACAGGGGTTCTCAGGTATAATTTGTTCGGGTTCGTGGCATGAACATGGTGGTTCCAGACAGGTAACTGAGCACACCTCTCTTGACTTCCAAGAATGCTACTGGTGTTCTATCATGGCACATGCTTAGAAGAGTTCAGTCTATCATACATGGGAATTTCACTATAGATCGAAAAGTTCAATATAGAATGAGTGTAGTTCACAAGAGAGTGAGTGAGTGAGTGAGTGAGTGAGTGAGTGAGTGAGTGAGTGGGTGGGTGGGTGGGTGGGTGGGTGGGTGAGTGAGTGAGTGAGTGAGTGAGTGAGTGTACCACCATGTTGCTGGGTTTTTCAGCAGAGATAGATAAACAATTTGAACACCACTACTACCATCTTTCATTCTGTCTGTTTCTCTCTTTGTTTCCCTTTCACACACCCTTCCACCTTCACACTCTCACTCAAATACACAAAAAAACAAGTACAAGAATCAACGTTTGCAATATGATAAAGCAGATGATCTAATTGTATCTAATCTTAGTGTAGCAAGATGTTATCCCAATTGCACAAGGATAGTGAGAAAATTCACAAGGAAGATTAAACTAATTCCCAGTTACCCCCCAAAATTCATATAAACAGTTCAAACTCCACCCCCTTCACAATACCAATGAGTCAAAGCCCATGTCCACGACATAACGAAGCCCCTGAAGTAGGAGTGGTTACTGAACAGGCTGGTCGACTGCCTACGTGATGCATCAGTGCATGGTTACTGTAACTCTGATGAGATGTCAGGGCCGTCGGGGAGCCTAGTGGTTGAAGCGTTCGCTCAGCACGTCAGGTTCAATTCCGGACATGGGTACAATGTGTGAAGCCCATTTCTGGGGTCCCCTGCCATGATATTGCTGCCATATTGCTAAAAGCGGCGTAAAACCATACCCACTCACTAATGAGATGTCCATAAAATGAATTGTTCTCACATTTAGATAAAAATGTGTCTTAATCATAAAACTTGTATGTGACTCAGTTGTATTTGTTTGTTTGTTACCAATATTCCAGCAATATCTTGAAGAGGGACACCAGCAATGGGTTTCACACATTGTACCCATGTGGAGAATCAAACCCATAACTTCAGCATGACCAATGAATGCTCTAAGCACTAGGCTACCCTACTGCCACTTGACTTTTGAAAATAAAGAATCTTTTTCACCAGCATAAAAAAGTATGTCCGAATCCCCATAAACCCATAAAGCTTGAATAGGACCAGCATCCATTTTTATGTCCTAATTGCATATAACAGACCACGTAACGACTCGGGAAGATTGACGAGTCCATTCTGACTGGGACTCAATGGGTGAAAATATCCTCCTTTTTCCACTAATCAATAGTCAGGGATTCTGAAAGTCTCATAATCACTCGTCGTAAATTAATAACATTTGAAATGGTAAAGGCCAAACTGTTTTCAATATTGATCAATTTATGAACCATATCATCTCCCTTTTCAAGTTAATGAAATCAAAATAATTTCCAAATCAAAACACCCAACACCAAAGAGAAGTTTCCTGTATGGGGCCTAAAATCATGTATAGCCAAGAATCCGATTTGATCTGTGAAGCAAAACCTTTGCTGAATTAAATATCCCTTGTGCGACATAGCTGACCTTAGAAAACACCTCTCCCGACTCATAGATTGAAGAAAAACATAGGGGTTTTTTTCATGTACATTTCAATTAAACTGATCACATTATTGCATTGCCTGAGAGATCAAAGAAAAGATAATGAATAATAAGCTATTAATTAGGACACACGAATGGTGACATCTAAAAATGTGGAACTTATAAAATGAAATATGGTAATTTGTTTAATGATATGAAAGATCAGATAACAGCTGAATAATTATTTATTTCATATTTTGAAATATCATGCATAATTAATATTTATACATATTCATGCCATTAATAAGCATAATGACTGATTATGTGTGACTTTACAATACAATTCCCTTTTTGACATGTGCCAAATGTTCCCGTGTTTTTTTCAGATGAACATGTGTTTTGCCTAAGGGTTTTGTCGCTTTATTTGCATCGTTTATGACAAGTGCAACTGGTAGGCCAGATATGCCATCCTTTTCATATCAATATTCACATTATAAAGGGCAGACAACATACAAAGTTTGGTCACAATCCTTCAACAGTTGTTCACATTATCAAGCCAAAGAGGTAGCCAGGATGATACACCATTGTACATGCTATTGTGGTCTGCCACTTAATGAGCTAAAACAGATGATTTAAGACAGCACAAGATGATTATCTTTTCTGAATCTCCATGCTTTGCCTTCACAAAAAAACCAAACTGTTTTGGTAAAAAACAAAATCTTTTTTTTTAAAACAAACCATCTTTGAAAAAACAACAACAAATTTTTAAAATCATAACATCTTTTCAATGTTCGTCCTATTTCAGATACAATCTAATGATCAGAAATGAGGTGATACTCAAACGATACGACAACATGATATGACAGGGGAGAAAAGGATGGCAAACAAATTGATATAATGAGATTTTCAAGATTAAAAAAAAGCAACATTTTCTCACTAAAATCTTTTCCACAAGAATAAGAAGAAAATCTTTCTGAAAAGAGTTTCATTTAGACATTTTTAAAAAAATTCAAAATTTTGCATTCAAAACGCTTCTGGAAAACATTGAAACAAATCTGTTACAATAAAATTAATACAGTCCCGATAGAATTAGTATTCAGGTTATATCATCTACAAGTATAACTGTACTCTTAAAAAACATAAGTTGAAATGAAGACTTATCCACAAATGCTATTCCCCATCATGCCTCTATCCTTTATTCCTGACAGTTTCCATCTGATATACGCATGTTCAAGTGATAATGCAATTTCCCGTTTTACTGCATGGAACTTATCCTCAATCCGCTATAAATATCAATACACAGCCCCCAGCTGAACTCTACTGATAAACGCATCAGTGATTGTCTTGGGACTGACCTATGACAGAACAAGATATAACGTTTTCATCACAACTAATGTAAATCAGTCTTTATCAAGGGTCTGGAGATATATTTCTGATAACGTGTGACAATGTAATTGACAAGAAATTGCTATGTTTGAGCAACTGGTCAGGGCAGGTCCATGGTGTTGGTAGAAGCTTGCCATATCACCTCCAGGTCAATTCAGCAGCAGTGTCAATACCGCTCCAAATAACTAACTTGCTGTCTGAGACTAGTTATGAGATAAATAGTATATATTAGTTATGAGATAAATAGTATATCCATTGTTAGGAAGCAGGTATGGTCAAAACAGTCAAATAAAAAACAGATTGTCTAAGACCTGTTTTGAAGAAAATAGTGTATGCTTTGTCAGAAAGCATGTAATGTCACAAAAGCCAACCAAGTACCATACTGTCTTCATTAGTTTTAAGAGTAATAGTACATCAATTGTCCAAAAGCATGTATGGTCATAAAAACCTCAGAAAGGATGTATATACTCACCACTAAAAGAAACGCGAAACATAGAATCAAATAGAGAAGTATGTATGTTAAGAAGAGATGTTTCCAATGTGTACCAATTAATGACCAAACTGTCAAAAATGTGTGAAGCCTATTTCTGGTGTCCCCCGCCGTGATATTGCTGGAATATTGCTAAAACGGTGTAAAACCATACTCACTCATTACTCTGAACAGTTATGAAAAATAGATAAAACTTTCAAAAGTATTTAATAATTTTATCATACTGCATTGTTTTAGATAATAAAAATTAAGTGAGCGAGTATTGTTTTACACCACTCTCAGCAATATTCTAACATGACGTGATGACAGTGGACACGAGGAATCTGGTTCTAGAATGTGCCATTGTGGGGATTTGAAACCAGGTGTTCAGCAAGATGAGTGAACACTTCAACCACTAGGCTACCTCACTGTCACTTTTGTGGAACAAAAACACTTAGATACAGAGACAGACAAAGACCCCAGAACGAAAATGTGAAAATGCATTTCCATTAGACCATCCCTAACAGCAGTCCCTTGAAAAGCAAATATCTGTCTACTTTGATGTGGAAGAAATACAAAATCACATTTGTTACACCCACACGTATGGCATATACACGTCATTCATTGGTCATACGTATGGCATATACATTCTAAAATGTCAATTTATTGCTGAAGGAACAACCACAATCCAAACAAGCCATTTCAAATGTAAATTGACCACTGTCGTATTTCATCTGTTCTCCACAAATGCAGACAGCATAAATCATGAAAGGAAAATAGTTCCTACCCATGCAATAATGCCATATTTTCTCTGCCATGTATAAAAGGGTTCAGAGAAAACCCATAACCTGAACAGACCAAGTAGCTCTGACTTATTTTGCCCGTTTAACAAATTTTTCACTTTTTTTCCAGACAATTGCGACATTGACAACCCAGCCAGATTGACAAGATGATCGTAAATTACACAAGCATTGACATCCCTTGTACAGACCCTAGTCAGCGACGGACCGAGTGTTGCGAGCAGGAGACAGTTTATCATTCAAGAGAGTAGTATAAAGCCAATATCATCAAGTTGTTCCGTATAATGGGAAACTCAAGAGAAAGTGCTCTCATCTCATAAAATCATGGATGACAACTTTTTGTACACGACGGCGCCGGACACAAACGCTGGCTTTAGCACCTCGGAAGTGTTTATTAACAGCCAGTTTACGACCATTGCTCCATCACTGGACCTTGCCGCCAACAACTCCATCAACGAAGATGATTACGGGAGAGTTAATGTGTCATTCAGCAGCGTCTGCAATTCGAACATCTCCATGGTATGGAAGCTTACAAGTCCAGTATGTTCTACGAGGTTCCAGGCTTTTGCATCGTTTATGATCGTCCTGATTGTGCTAGCTGTAATTACACTGTTGACCATTATTGGGAATGGCCTGGTCTTACTTGCCTTGTATAGGTACCGGTCACTTCGGACAATGTCCAACTGTCTCATCGGGAATCTGGCCGTTAGTGACTTACTGCTTTCTATAACTGTCATGCCGATATCACTGAGCAACGACCTGCTCGGGTATTGGGTGTTTGGGAGAACAATGTGCACGATTTGGCTGTGTATCGATGTCCTCTACTGCACGGCTTCAATATGGGGACTGTGCACCATTGCGTTTGACCGCTACACAGCCACAGTTTACCCAGTGTGGTACCATGAGCAAAAGTCGACACGCAAAGTTATTGCGTACGTTGTGTTCGTATGGATCTTTTCAATAATAATATCGTTTGCCCCATTCATTGGATGGCAGGATATGATACCAAGTTTCTATTACTTCAACTGGAAACTAAATCGGCACGAATGTATCTTATTTTCAACAAAGAGTTACGTATTTTATTCTGCAATGGGATCGTTTGTCCTGCCTGCCTGCCTTATGGTGTTTCTGTACATTCGTATTTTCAGTGTTCTACACGACCGATCAAACAACTTGAAATCACGGAATATGTCCTGTTTTTCGCCACAAAGCCCTTCAATGGTAAATGGATGTCCTCGAATAAATTCGCCTGAGGATAACAGCATTGAAATGAATCTAACACGTGAAAATACAGCTCTCACAGTCGCAACAGAATTGATGAACAGCACTTTGTATTTAAACGGAAACACGTTCACCCCGACCAGTGAAATAATTCCGACTGAGATCGGCAATGATGACCAATCCTCGGATTACCATTCTATTGGAGATTTACCATCAGTGAAACCGGTGGCAGATACAGTGAGTTTTGCAAACCCAGATTCTGACGGACATCATCTTCTGGTGACCAACAATCCAAATGGTGATTACAAACGAAACCACAATGGTCTTCGGAAAAGCTGTTCCGATGCCATTGACCTTCAACGCCAGAAAGGCGACAATTCCTGTGATAATGCTGTACGGAGCAAGAGTGTGAATGTTCTGTCCGATCTGTCATCTGACGAATCGGACAATCGCAGTAAGAAGACTCGTAAACATCACCGGTTCTCCCTTCCATGGAACCTGTCCAGCTTGGAACGCAATCAGCGAATGACATTAAGCATGAAGCGACGATTTGAACTGCGAGAAACGCGGGCGACCAAGCGCATGCTCTTGATAATGGCATGTTTCTTTGTCTGCTGGATACCATTCCTTTTCATGTACATCACTCGAAGCTTATGTGAAGACTGTTACATGAACGACCATTTCGTGGCCTTCATTATTTGGCTCGGTTATGCTAACTCAGGAGTAAATCCAATTCTATATACTCTCTTCAATGAGGACTTTCGCCGAGCATTCAAGAAACTCCTGGGGCTCAGCACAAGATGAATGCCTTTCTAACTCCTCCCAGTCCCTCGGCCACTAAAACTCTGCCTGAATATATATGGTCTTTCACAATTGGACATTTCTATCACCCACAGAAATTTTATTAGCAACTATAAGGTGTCTAAACCTATGAACGATATTATGAATAAAAGTTTACTATAATATCATGTTGATATGTTACTGTGATATGTTGTTGGAGAAATAGTATTTTTGGATGCTTAAGCTGAATCCATGGCAAACCAATTACATATTCTCATCAAAAGTTAAAAAGAGAATATTTCATATTTTTATAGATTTGCAACATAAATTCTTTCAAAGGCACAATGTTATTTCATGCTTTCTCTTCAGAAGAATCATGATTCAAATGATATTATCTAATCAACTGATCATGTTTTTCTTGCCTACTTAGAAGCCTTTATCTTGCAAAAAGTTCTATTTTACCAAAAGGTTTACCAAAAAGATCACACTGCTTTTGAAAGTAATTTTTTCACAATATTTTTATATTACTCTTAAAACTTGAAGCAGGTTTAAAAACCAAGTAATCTATTTATAGTGGCCTGGTTCAGTAAAGACACACAGTTACATGGGGACCTGAAATGAAGACAAATCTACTTGTCTGAGACCAGTAAGAACCCCATGACAAGCAAGTTCTTTTTCAGAATGATTGTCCTCTGGACAGAGACTGAACAGCAAGCACAAAAAAACATCGTTGGGTAAAGGTTGAGTTTACACCTGGACGTTAATAGCTGTAACACTGGCCACAAGTTTTAATCACATGGATTATGAACGGCTCTAGTAAAGTTGACGAGACTCACAAGGGAAACAAAAGTAAGCCTTGGTTGTGTTAATTTTACCAATTTTTAACCAATAATGCTAAGTACAGTGAGAGACAAATACAAGAAAAAATTTGTTTCGTTTTTATTTTTGTTAAAATTTGGTTTTAAGCACACAGCCATAAAAGAAACACAGTTTGGTAATCTGATTGGATTACTTAGTCAACCTCTAAGGATTGAAGAGATCAGACAACAAACAGAACAGCTATAGTTCATTGGTTGGCAGGTTGGGGAAAAAATGGACATTTCCAGGCTTTCTTTCCATGTTAACTTTCACATGTAAGGGTTGCTGTATCCCTAACCCAAGCTAACAAAAGTCTGATCGAAGTCAGTCTCCAGGTAATGCCACTATCATGTTCCAATAATATATATGTGACGCCAAATTGTCCTTTTCAATTAGGATGTAGTCAAGGAAATTGAATTAAGGCTAATCCATCTATATGCTCAAGACAAGCTTGGCTCTACCATCTGGTGCCTATGTACTGAAAGGGTTCTTTGTAATTTGTAATCGGCTGAACTTGATCATAAAATGTGAGTTAGCTCACAAGTACAGTGACCTGGTTGAAACTTGTTAAAAACACAGGAATTTTCTGATTAAGACAATATTTATTTTCAATGAACGAACCTGCTTATAATGAACTGTTTTTGGTCCCGGTCAATTGCTGTATATATCCTGTGTATATGCCTGTAACGAACTACGGTTATAACAAACTAAGATAGTGGTTCCTTTGAGTTCGTTATAACCGTAGTATACTGTACGCTCATGGTGTAGCCTAAAACTTGTTAATTCAGAAAGCGGGGCTTGTACAAATAAAACAGAGTCAACTTGGAGAGCAGTGAAGGCACTAAGGGAATGTATGACAGTTATTTTGTTGAATACATTATAAGAAAAGAAATATTTCAATTGTGCAGTTGATCCTTTTAATCAGTTTATTCCGATGGATCCACAGGCTTATTTGACAGTCAACACAAATTGAACATCTCAAATTATTTGTTTGAATGAGTAAGTATCTATCGATAATCATTTCCTTGTGAAAATTCATATGCGTTCATACCCCCCATTTTCTACTGTAATATTTCAACAAAAAGGGATGTACCCCCTTTAAACATCCCTGTGTTGTCTGTGTAAGAAATTACTGATCTGCGGACAGTGTTCGGTAGAAAAAATGGCGTACTATAAATCCTTTCGCTTTAACCGTAAATAGCAAACTGCACATGCGTTGAACTTTCATAAAAACGTAAAAACAATCGTTTCTGGGTTGGGGCTCCAAATAGTGCAGTCTACCCTCCACAACATCTTTGCCACCACCTAAAGCCGTCAGAACCGAGGCAGATGCCCTAGTGTTAAATCCTGATGCCTTCCCCAACTTCCCTAATTCCTTCTTCTGACGACCATCCCCTCTAAGCGTTATTTAAAGAAAAGAAAAATGTTGCAGTATGTAAGGTAGTTATCCAGCCATCAGACAACTCAAACAATCTCTCAGCTGCTAGATGATACTGCACTAGGCATGTGTATTTTCAGCTGAAAAGTGACTAAGTTTCACCTTTAAAATCGTTGAGGGCCGTAAATCTGAATTTTCACAGACTAATACACCACATTGCCACTATTGTTCCCGTTTATCCATTAATAATGCATTAGTTCACCATACCAAGCAGTTTGAATGACGACGAAGAACAGTAACGAGACTCGGGAGAATATTGTTATACTGTTGGCTGCAACGTAAGCACTCTGTCACACACGTTAAATAACCCTTCCATTCGACGTCACAATTCAAAAAATCATTGCACATGAAAAGTTATGACAAAAAGGGGGAAGATTTTAAAGCAAATTTACTGAAATATGAATTTAAAGCACAGAACAGACAATAGTGGCACGGCACTGTAGCTCACCTGAATATGTAGTCAACAGTCACAATGTCAACCAGGGCAGCCAATTAACAAAAGTTGCTGTCAGCATTGATATTCTAATATTTTCTTCATAAACAGTGAGGAACACTAAAATCAAATGATATGCAAGCCTAGTTCTCCCAATCTGGCAATTCAACGCAAGTGAGTGAGTGAGTGAGTGAGTGAGTGAGTGAGTGAGTGAGTGACTCTTAACACCACTATGAACAGTATTCCAGTTGTATCACGGCGTGTCAGCTTGTGGGAGGAAAACCTGAAAGACGTTTACAACTTCGGTGAAACCCACAAGCATGGATATGGTGCTGACACACCTAGAAACATAATCAGGGCGAACCCCGACTCAAAGCCACAATCATGGTTTCTGGCATACCTAAGGGATTTGTACATTTTAAGAGAATATTTGACCATGGTCATAACAAGGTCCAAAGAAAACCTTAACGTGTTGAATCCCACAACAAACTAATCAAATACCAAATTTCATGACATTTTGTACACTTGAATTTCAGTCAGGTGAGCTAACAATTATATTGTTGTATAAAATATGTAAAAATAATGAATAAATTATGTATTAATTATGTATAAATTATATATATCAACAATAACAAGTTTAAGCTGCAAATAGCTGCAAAATTGCTGGTGCAACGTTAAGCAATCTTCACTCACTCACTTAATATGTATAAAGTCAAAGAAGTTACTCGGATCTGTTGATTCTGTAAAATCAACTCCCACTTCACGGCTCATTGATCTAATAATTTCTCCATCACAAAATACATATCACAAACAAAAGTTGAAATAAAAACATGCTCTTCATCCCTGTCCTTCTACTACATAATGGGTCCAAATCCGATTCAAATTGAACTCAATTTCTTTAATGTGTATCTTTTCAACAGGATATTTTAAAACATCTCTCTACAAAACAGTAAGAACGTAAAAACTAAGAGAAGTTTTAAAAAAAATGAGATAAGAGAAAAATAGAAAATCTAAACAAACAGCAAAAACCAAATTTGGAAAACAAAGATTCTCTAAAACTATTGCAATCAATCATGAGGGTGCTTTGACCTTTCTAAAGACTCGGTTTTAGGTCCTTAGTTTCCAATTTAGTTCAACTTCACACCATCACGGGCTTCGTAAACCTTTGTGAACTCCTACAGAGGCAGTTCAACTTCCGGCTAGAGTCGCAGGAAATCATCCTGGCGCTGATTTTCAAAGAACTGATTCAACGATAGCCTCTTCAAAGTTCAAATGTTTAATCGACGATGAGTATTTCTAATCTTTTAATCCCCTACACTTCATTTTTCAGCAATTGACTAGAGGGAAAATCGTTAGACTGGACAGCGGCTCATACTCAACAGCCATCAATCTTGGTGAAAGTGCACTATTTGCGGATTTCTTGGGGAGTGTTTACGAAATTTGATATAATTTTGTCTAAATAAAGACAAACACTGTTTGACGCATGTGAAAGGCTCTATTTTCGACACATACCAACACATGTACTCCTTACCATACAATTAAAAAATAACCCCATGTTGATTACAGAAGTCAAGGAAAACTTAATTGAATTTTTTTTTTGTCTGTGAAGTGTTTTTTTCAGGTTGAATAATACTTTTTAGAAAGATCTTGAGGCGTGAAGTTCCTGAGGGAAACAGTTTGAGAAGAAACAAGAGGGAAAGAGGCGGCAGTTGTGCAGTGTTTGAAACAGAGTAAACTTGTTCCATATTTCTTCAAACATTTACCTTTTTTTCCATTAATATGAAAAAGTTATTATGAAGCAAGTTTTGAGCACTACTGAAATCCTTAGACAATCAAAAGTAATCTACATTATCTATATTTATCCTTTTTTTTTATTTTCTCAAATGCAAGAAATATACCAGCATTCTCATAGGTTGCCCCCCTCCCCCCAAAGTGTTTGCCATGGACTCCCCACAGGGAGACAAGCATGAGGTGCTTGGGACCTGTTTGCCCTGGGGTGACCACAGGGAGACAAGCATGAGGTGCTTGGGACCTGTTTGTACTGGGGTGCCCACAGGGAGACAAGCATTGGGTACTGGGGACCTGTTTGCCCTGGGGTGCCCACAGTAAGACAAGCATGGGGTACTGGGGACCTGTTTGCCCTGGGGTACCCACAGGGAGACAAGCATGAGGTGCTGGGGACCTGTTTGCACTGGGGTGCCCACAGTAAGACAAGCATGGGGTACTGGGGACCTGTTTGCACTGGGGTACCCACAGGGAGACAAGCATTGGGTGCTGGGGACCTGTTTGCACTGGGGTACCCACAGGGAGACAAGCATGAGATGCTGGGGACCTGTTTGCACTGGGGTGACCACAGGGAGACAAGCATGAGGTGCTGGGGACCTGTTTGCACTGGGGTGCCCACAGGGAGACAAGCATGAGGTGCTGGGGACCTGTTTGCCCTGGGGTGACCACAG